ACCAACTCAGACGCCGACACCAACACCGACGCCGACGCCAGGACCAACATCCACGCCTGGACAAGCGCCGATGTCGGCACAGGCCGCCACACTCAGTCTCACCGCCGTGCTCTCTGCCTCCATCACGGGAGGGCAGATGCGACAACCGCCTCATGGCGCCTCTTCCGCAGGACTCGGAACAGGCGCTCCTGGAGGTCCCGGATGTTCCGGCCAGCGGACGAGCTCCCTGTTCGCAGGACTGAGCGGAACCATTCCAAATGGTGGCAGTGGAGGCGGGGGTTGTGGTCTGGCTCTGGGTGCCGGAGCCGGGTCCGGTGTGCAAATGATCGGCGGCCATCGAAGCGACACGGAGACGGATTTTGCACCGCCGCCGAAGAAGATCTACACGAATGACATTCCCGTTCTGTGAGCTAATGGCTTTCGAGTTCAACCTTTAAACATCAATCAGAATTTAGAGCTCAGCTAAAATTTTTATGAGGTGATGAAGAACTGCTTGTTAAGGTTCCCCACAATCACATGATTTGGCCTCAAGTTTCCATTGCATTTCGCATAACCTTGCTTCTCAAAAGGTACTCTCATTCTGACTAGAATGCAGTTTCAACATCACTCGAACTGGTCTCATTGACATCCAAAGAGTTACGCGAACCCAGATTATGCTAGTCTAGCTCAAAGTCTCCACAGACGCCACACTGCCACAAGTTCACTTGGGTTACGGGGCAGACATGAACTTCAAGAAAACCTAAGCCTTTTGTCCTATCACATTTATATGGTGCGATTGCCGACTAAGCAAAGTTGTATTTCTTATGGTGATTGTCTACATTATTTATTTTGAATTTATAAGTATGGATGAGAATACCTTTCGAGAAAACAAGGCTATGTAAAATCCATTAAAAACCTAGGCTCTACTCAGAGCATTGTTGGAAAATGCAGCTAACAGTCCTTTATCCCCTTCAAAGAAGTATGGTGAAGGCAAATAGTATATAGGATTACTTGTAGTTTTAGAAACCTACGCATAATTGGAAAACATACTTAACTACGTTCATTCAAAAAAATAGAGTCTAGAAAGCGGTACATTCGGTCCCAGTAAAAATTCGAGATTAGGGGCAAAGTGATTTTGTATATATGTTGTTAGCTTAGTATGCATTATAATAATCATGATCCAATTGTCGTTGATTTGTTTTTTAACTTTGCACAGAGACACATTCCCCGGATACTATGGATTCAGCCTCTATCATCTTCTCTGCGAGGAAGCCTACGAAGGTCAGGAGACAAAGCCGAGTACTGCCTTCTTTGTAAGTTATGATCCATTTACGACAAGATAGGCAAGAGCATCAGGGGGCCAATTGTAACTCACAAGTGGTACAACTGGGCATGAGTTGAGATGGGTATAATTCTATATATTTTGTTATATTATGGTACCAGCAAATATAGTATAGTATAGTACAATATATTAAAGTATAGCACAGTAAAGTAAAGTATAGTAAAGTAAAGTAAAGTAAAGTAAAGTAAAGTAAAGTAAAGTAAAGTAAAGTAA